ATGCATATATGTCGTGCACATTCTCGGAAACGAACGAATATTGTGCAATAACTAGCATGCATGTGCATTTAATGCAATTGTCAGAGACAAAAGCGATCGAGAGGTGAGAGAGAGAGAAAGAGAAAGAGGGGTGATACATAAATGACGAATGTTCGAGTCAGATTTAACTATTGCTGTTTGCCTTTGTAGTCATCACAACAAAATTGCAATCATTTTGACATCAACATGTAAATATAAATGTATTTACTATTTTAATTCAAAGTTTTTGCGCGATAAAACATCATCGTGCAAATTTAAATCTCTTTATTTTCTACTTTTTGCATTCGTATTTTTAATCACTATTTACAACCCGTACGAATTAATTTGATAGATTTTTGAAAACTCAATTAAATTGTCACGGAAGTCTAATCACGAGAGATTATTATTAAGCTGTTTTATATAGGTTACATATAAGTATATATTTTTATATTTATATTTATACACTGAAAAAAATGTGTTAACTTGACTAAACCTTTCAACTAAATATTATTTTGTTAATTAAACATATAAAATTATTTAAATTAAATATAACATATAAATCTAACAAAACCTACATATGTATACATATTTGTTACTTAAATACTAATATACATTCAATTAATTTAGTTGAAAGGTTTAGTCAAGTTAATTTTTTTAGTGTATATTTTATACTATATATATTATACTTATATTTGTATATAATTATATATTTTAATTATATATATTATATATGTATAATAGTTGTATATATTATATTATATATATAATATATACATTATATATTATATATAATATTATATATTATATATAATATATTATATATTATATATATATATATATATATTATATATTTTAATATATATAATATATATTATATAGCATGTATATATTGGACAATGAGAATGACGGGCATAAATAAAGATCGTTTATAGACCAAATTCGAACAACTGAAAAAGATAGTTGCGAAAGCCGGATATTCTCTTCACGAAATAACGAAAGCTACTTAAAGCTTCCGGCGGAACAAGGATCTAGTGGAGCGAGCTTGACAAAGCCGTCCGGGATCGGACGTTTCGCTGGTGTGACGATATTTTTTCGATGGGCATCTCACGCGAGAGCATGTAAGCCGAGATCTCTCGTAAGTTATGAAACGGGAAGAACGCAACATGAATTGCCACTTTGCGCCCGAGGATGTTCATTTATATCGGGTAGCCACTTATCGTCGCGCGAGATTAAAGACGCGACACGACGTAATTGATCCTGCGGTGATGACGCGCGCACGTCATACACGCGGTAAAAAAGATACATGTATATCGCCAGAGATTACAAGACACGCCATGAATAATCGTTAATCTCGAAAAGAACGCAGACTCAATGAACTATATTCCCTCACTTTTTCACATTTTCCAAAAATTCATTTTTTCTCTTACTTTTTAGTATTATTTTTTTCAAATATATATAATTTGCATATATTTATATGATAAATCAATTAAATGTTAAATCATGAAATCCTTGAGATATTTTTGTCAACAATGAAAAGGTTCGGAAGTTAAAAAACAAAAATTCAAATCAATTATACAATCTGCATAATTGAAACAAACATGTCACTATAAACTATTTAAATTTTTTAGTTTTATCTCTATCAAACACATTGAAATAAAATAACACGATGATGAAAATATAAATGAACGAACACGCTGTATAGATGAATCGATTTTTAACAACACAGAAAATTAGCGTGCTGGGAGTCAAGAAAAAGTTTATATGTAGGTATTTAATAAAAAATTTCAAATTATTGAGACAAATGTATATAGAATAATGTGTTTTTCATTATTGATAATGAAATTCATTTTTTCTCTTACTTTTTAGTATTATTTTTTTCAAATATATAATTTGCATATATTTATATGATAAATCAATTAAATGTTAAATCATGAAATCCTTGAGATATTTTTGTCAACAATGAAAAGGTTCGGATGTTAAAAAATAAAAATTCAAATCAATTATACAATCTGCATAATCGAAACAAACATGTCACTATAAACTATTTAAATTTTTTAATTTTATCTCTATCAAACACATTGAAATAAAATAACACGACGATGAAAATATAAATGAACGAACACGCTGTAGATGAATCGATTTTTAATAACACAGAAAATTAACGTGCTGGGAGTCAAGAAAAAGTTTATATGTATTTAATAAAAAATTTCAAATTATTGATACAAATGTATATAGAATAATGTGAAAAAATGCAGATAAATAGTAAAATTTGAGATTTCTAAAATTCCTTGATAATATCCGGTTTTCCAGATTCTCCTGACCGCTAGACATCCTGGATCGATAATGTTGTTCCATCGCGTATATTCTCATTTTTTTCTTTATACATATAGACGATCGCTTTCGCTAATATAACGTTTCAATCTCAATCCTGTCCGCGCCCATTCAATTCCGTTTCTAAAAAAAGCCGAACAATACCCGATATCATCCATCACTTTGGAGGATGAACAATCGTGAAACGTTTCTTTCGCGATTCCAGAATTTTTCTCCTTCGTTCCACTATCACGCCCGCTTCGGTCGCCCACATCGAAGGATTTACAAGCTACTTTCGACCGAGATTGCACATTAGACGGACATATCGAACTCTCGCTTCGTCTTCGTTTTTGCGACAGTTCGACGAACGTTTGCGGAAGCGCATAACATTGAACGGGGGATGAGCGTTTTTTTTTTCGCGATTTCACGCGTCACCTCGTAACTTTACGACTGCGCGAACGGCTTCTAAAAATGACCGGGCATTTCCACGACTGCGAGAGTGCGACCGTGTGCTCCTTTCACCCGCAGTGCGCGCGGAAAATATAGCGTGCCGTGAGCTATATTTATTTACGCGCGCGCGTTCGCGGCTCTTTTCATTCAAGCGCCACGTGCAAACATTTTCCCATTCACGGCGCGATATTTATAAAGCGCCATCGCGCGCGGCAATCGATCGTGTATTACGCGATTACTATCGACCATCCTCCGGGAAAAAAAAAAAACAAAAAAAAACAATGCGATGCTTTAATCTCGAAATTAATAGCCCGAGAAGATCCTGAAGTTGATATTAACGGCACGTTACGATTCTAATACTCCTTTATTGTGAACTCGTATAAAAACTGGAACTTTTCCGGCTAACGCCTTCGATCGCGCACCCACACGAAGCTACGTTAAATGTGCAGCTTCTAATGACGCAATATAACGGGGAGACGTAAATATAAAAGTGGCGACGTGGAAAAATAACTTTGACGTGCGTTATCGTATCTCTAATTGCGATACAATTTTAATTAAAAATAATTCTATAATAATAATATAATTGATATCTATTAATGTTTTAATTTTATAAATAATATAAATAGTAATTTATATAATAAATTGTAAAATTAATCTTCTCCCTATAAGAAAATCTACTTGTTTTCTGAAGAATTAAGAAGACGTTTGATATTCCAAAATCTGATAAAAATATGATTTATGTAAATTCACGTGATTTCTATAATAATTCTATAAAATAATATATTATATAATAAATATTTTAATTATATAATTAATATAAATTATAAATTTATATAAGAATAAATTGTAAAATTAATCTTCTCCCTATAAGAAAAATACTTGTTTCCTGAAGAATTAAAGAAGACGTTTCATATTCCAAATGGATAAAAATAAGATTTATGTAAATTCACGTGATTTATATGTCACGCTCAGCAATGGATTATCTTTGTGTCTCGAGAAGAAAGAAAATTTTTTCTCGGTTTGGCGGTTTAACGGTTTTGTGGTCGCGAAACGATGCGACGTTACACCGTCGTTGAAATGCGAGACTAGTTTTCGATCCCAGCGAGGAATATTAATCTTCCCTCTCGTGTCTGTTGCAATGCACTTGTAAAAAGCATTCTTCTCACGAGAAAAAGAGTGAGAGAGAGAGACCGCGACGACGCCCACCTCATTCCTATCTTTTGTTTGTGAAACGTTAAAATCCTAAACGCCCTTCCCTGCACCGTTTGGCATTTCTACTTAAATTTATTCCTCGCACGATTTCTACCAATGTTGAACGATGGCATACCGCTACTTGTTCTTGTTGAAATTTCACTTGTGCAAACGTTAAAATTAGCAATTTTAAATTTAATTTAAGAAGAATGTATTTTTCATATATGATCTTTTTAAAACTTTATATCGGTCAATGAAGAGATAATTAATGATACCAAAGTTGAATATCACAGTATTAAAATGTATTTCTCACAATCAAAATTTCACGGTATAATGTCAAATATAATTTAAAAATGTATATATTATTTATTAATATAATTAACTTTTATATTTGTTACGTCGCTTCTCTTTAATTATTTTATTCGTATCATTTATGTGTTATGTCATATTATTAATGAATAATTTAATTTTAATATAATTAAATAAAATAATAATTAGTTATAATAATTTTATTATATTATTATGATTCATTTGTGGCGATAATATCGTCACATATTCCCCGGGTATAATTAGAGACATACAAAGGGACGAAAACAAAAACGAGACAAAATAAACCAGTAAAGAGAAAACATAACAGACGAGACGTTTGACAACTAGCATCGAGACAGAAAAAAGAATAATAACACGTGTGAAAAAGATTAGGTGAGAAGATTCTCGAATGTCAAGAAGATAGGCGACAAGAGAAAATGTAACGCGCGATCAGGAGATTCGGTTTCCGACTGCTGTCGCGTGCGGACGTATACCGCGAATATTCTGTAGCGAACTCAAACGCAGCAATTATAACAGTTCTCATAAAAACCGATTTTGATCATTAACCCACTGACACACAGATCCTCGCCTGCACCGGTGCATAAGAACCCGGGACATAAACGATTATTAAAGTGGTGACCCCGACGTGATCGTGAATACGCGAAGTGCAGGGATAGTTTCGCGATCGAGTGTCTGGTGTGTGAGGACGGAAAAGGAGTGACATGCCGGTGATGCGAGACGGCGAGGACGCTATTCCACGCGTGGAGCCGGAGGCGCGGGCGCTCGAGCGGCCGGGGATTCAGGCGCCGAATTCGCACCTGAGTGCGATGCAGTCGGCCCGGGCGGAGCAGCCACCGGGGTATTATTTGCCTGCCCCCGAGGTGAGTCGAGTGGGCATGCGAATGCCAGAGTTCACGCCGACGGATCCGGAGCTCTGGTTTAACATCGTCGACCGGAGTTTCCAGGCCGCCGGAATTACGGTCGACGCGACGAAGTTCGGGTACGCGTTGAGTGCCCTCGGACCGCGTTATACCACCGAAGTGCGCGATATAATTATGAATCCGCCCCCGGAGCGCGCGTACGAGACGTTGAAAACCGAGCTTGTTAAGCGACTAAGTCTGTCGCAGGAGCACAAGACTCGAAGGCTCCTTGAACACGAGGAGATTGGCGATCGAAAGCCATCGCAATTTTTACGCCACCTTCGCGGTCTTGCCGGGAACGTGGTTGGCGACCAGGTGTTGCGGACGATCTGGCTGAGTCGGTTGCCAGCTCACCTTCAGCCGCATTTAATAACGCGTACGGCAGATACGCCCGAGCAACTGGCGGATATCGCGGACGCGATCGTGGAGGCTTCCCGGGCGCCGGTGTTCCAGGTGGCGGAGACGACGAGATTCGCCGCTCCTCAGGGTCAGAGCGCGTGCGACCCGATGTCTCTGGAGGCGAAAATGGAGCTGCGAATGACGCAGATGCGACTAGAGATGCAGCGGGAGATGGCGGAGCAGTTGACGGCCATACGGAGATCGATCGAGGCGATCGGGAGTGACCGATATGGAGAAGACCGTGACGACGATCGGCGCCGCCCGCGTTCGCGCCAGCGTTCGCGTTCGCGCCCGCGAGCGCGCTCGGCAAGCCGTGATCCGCCGGCCAGTGGAATATGTTGGTATCACTGGCGATTCGGACCGAGCGCTCGACAATGCAGGCCGCCCTGCTCGATGCAACAACCGGGAAACGCGGGGGCCGGTCGCTAGTGGCGGCGAGTGACTCAGGCCACGAGGCGCGTCGCCTGTTCGTAACCGACGCGAACACTAAAGTGAGTTTTTTAATTGACACGGGCGCGGATCTCTGCGTGTATCCTCGGAAAATGGTTCGAGGACCGCGACAGAGATCGACCTACGAACTTTCGGCCGCGAACGGCACACCAATATATACATACGGGACAGAAACATTAGTTTTAAATTTTGGATTACGACGTGCATTTTTGTGGCGGTTCGTGATCGCGGACGTTTCGCGACCTATAATCGGCGCCGATTTTCTGGCGCATTACGGACTCCTCGTCGATCTGCGAAATTCTCGTCTCGTCGACCAGGTGACGAGCTTGACCGCGCGCGGACGATGCATCCGATGCGATGCACCCTGCGTCAAAGCGGTCACGGGAGAGACGCCGTATCACCGGCTGTTGGAACGGTACGCGGACATCGCGAGGCCGAACGGGCGCCCAAGAGAGACGATCCACACAACGCGACATCATATAGAAACGACACCGGGACCGCCTGTCGCGTGTAGGCCGCGGAGGCTCGCTCCGGACCGATTGGCGGCCGCGAAGAACGAATTCAGAAGGATGGTGGAAGCTGGAATCGCGCGACCTTCAAGGAGTAGTTGGTCGGCGCCCCTACATATGGTGCCAAAAAAGGACGAAGAGTGGCGACCCTGTGGAGACTACAGGGCGCTAAACGCGCGAACAGTCCCGGACCGATATCCTGTACGGCACATACAGGATTTCGCGCAGGCCCTCGGCGGTAGGAAAATTTTTACCACGCTGGACCTAGTGCGGGCATACCACCAGATACCGGTAGCGGAGGAGGACATCCCGAAGACGGCGATCACCACGCCGTTCGGCATGTATGAATTTCCATACATGTCGTTCGGATTACGCAACGCGGCACAAACGTTTCAGCGGTTCATCGATGAGGTTTTGCGCGACCTTGAATTCTGCTACGCATACATCGATGACATCCTCGTCGCGTCATCGTCAGAGGAAGAACACCACGAGCACCTACGGACGGTGTTTGAGCGTTTGCGAGTATACGGGGTAGTGATCAACCCCACGAAGTGCGTATTCGGACAACGAAGGGTGGAATTCCTCGGATACGAGGTGTCCGACGAAGGAACACGACCGCTGCCGGCGCGAGTGGAGGCAATCCTCGCGTGTCAGATGCCGAGGACCGCGAAGGAATTGAGAAGGTACTTAGGCATGGTAAATTTTTACCGAAGATTCATGCCTAAAGCTGCCGAGATTTTGGCACCGCTCAATGACCTGCTTCGAGAAAACATTAAGGGCAAGACGCCGATATCGTGGACGCAGCAGACTCAACAAGCATTCGAAACATCGAGGGAAGGCTTGGCCGAGGCCGCACTTCTGAGGCACCCAAGGACGAGCGCGGAGCTCGCGTTGTTTACTGACGCGTCCGAACAAAGCGTCGGCGCGGCATTACAACAGCGGGGCAGCGACGGCTGGGAGCCGTTAGCATTCTTCTCGAAGAAGCTAAGCCCAGCCGAATCGAAGTATAGCGCCTTTGATAGGGAGCTACTAGCGATATACTTGGCGGTCAAGCATTTTCGGCACATGCTGGAAGCGCGCGCGTTCGCGGTATATACCGACCATAAGCCGATCATCTTTGCTTTCCGACAGAAACCTGAGAGGAGCACGCCGCGCCAGTTCCGCCACTTAGACTACATCGGACAATTTACGACGGACATCCGGCACGTGACGGGCGAGGAGAATGTCGTGGCGGACGCGCTATCGAGAATCGAGGAGCTCCAAGCTCCTATGAATTACGCCGCACTGGCGGAATCACAGAGGACCGATGAGGAGCTCGAGAAGTATTTGCGACGGGAGACGGGACTAAAGCTGAGCAAGGTGGAGATCCCCGGAACCGGAATCGCGATCTACTGCGACACAGCGACGCCGACACCAAGGCCATATTTGACAAGGTCTTTCCGTCGGACCGCATTCGACCTGGTGCACGGCCTGGCACACCCAGGGATCAAGTCGACGGGCAGACTCGTGGCGCAACGCTACGTCTGGCCGTCGATGAGAGTGGACTGCCGCAATTGGGCTCGTTCTTGTGTGCCCTGCCAGCGATCCAAGGTGTCTCGACACGTGTCGGCGCCCTTGGGAAGATTCACCGTACCATCCAACAGGTTCGAGCACGTCCACCTGGACATCATCAAGATGCCGGTCTCGGAGGGCAAGCAATATTGCCTCACGTGCGTGGACCGTTTCACGAGGTGGCCGGAGGCGTTCCCCGTACGAGACCAGGAGGCGAAGACGATCGCAAGGGTTTTTTACGAGGGATGGATCTGCCGGTTTGGGGCACCCCTTCGAATCACGACAGACCAGGGGACTCAATTTGAGTCCAGTCTGTTTCGACGACTGAGCGAGATGACGGGAGCGGAAAGACTGAGGACGACGGCATACCACCCGCAGGCGAACGGAATGGTCGAGCGGTTTCATCGCCAGCTCAAAGCGGCGATCAAGTGCCAGCAGAGCGACCGCTGGACGGAGACGCTGCCGACGGTCCTGCTGGGGATTAGAGCAGCGTGGAAGGACGACCTACAGGCGACCACAGCCGAATTGGTGTACGGCCAGACGTTAAGGATCCCGGGACAATTCCTGAGCCGGCTGCCGACGGACAACGAGGACAGCGCCGTCGACCTCGTCAGGACGCTACGTGAGCAGTTCGAGAGACTGCGGCCGGTGGACGGAACCCGACACGGGGAGCGACGGCCGTTCGTTTACAAAGACCTAGCGACGGCCGGGCAGGTGTTCGTGCGGCGCGACGGACCGAGGAGGATGCTGCAGGCGCCATACGAGGGACCGTACGAGGTCATCAGTCGCAGCGAGAAAGTCTTTGTCGTGCGCATGCACGGCAAAGAGAGAACGGTCACGATAGACCGACTAAAGCCCGCGTATATTTTTTCAGAAAGCGATACAGGAGGCGACGGGCCGGCGGGATCGACGGCGCGAGACCGAGGCAGTGAGGTCAATCGACGAGAGGAGCGCGAGGACGCGGGACCGCCGCTCCGACGAGGCGAGACGACGACGAGAGCAGGGAGAAGAGTCCGGTTCCCGGACCGTTTCCAGGCGGGCCTGTGACGTAGGATAGGAAATAATTATTTCGGGTCGCGAGGTTCTGGGAGAATTCACACGTTAAGCAAGTTATTTCATTTTATTGTATTCTATTTCTATTGGTTTCGCGGTTTATAGCGCTATTTCTCTATCTTATATTTTTGTTTTTTTTTGGTTCTCAAGTAATTGACACGCGTACGCATATGCGAGCACGAACGACACGATTACATTACATTAGCGTTCTCTTATTGTTTTTTTTTGTTTTGATTTTATGCGTGTAATTTTGCGTCGCGCTTACGTATAAAGGAAAATGTAATTCGTAGCGTCCGAACATCGAAATATCGTGCTATCGGTATAGCACTGGCGGGGGAGTCCTGTGGCGATAATATCGTCACATATTCCCCGGGTATAATTAGAGACATACAAAAGGACGAAAACAAAAACGAGACAAAATAAACCAGTAAAGAGAAAACATAACAGACGAGACGTTTGACAACTAGCATCGAGACAGAAAAAAGAATAATAACACGTGTGAAAAAGATTAGGTGAGAAGATTCTCGAATGTCAAGAAGATAGGCGACAAGAGAAAATGTAACGCGCGATCAGGAGATTCGGTTTCCGACTGCTGTCGCGTGCGGACGTATACCGCGAATATTCTGTAGCGAACTCAAACGCAGCAATTATAACAGTTCTCATAAAAAACCGATTTTGATCATTAACCCACTGACACACAGATCCTCGCCTGCACCGGTGCATAAGAACCCGGGACATAAACGATTATTAAAATTCCAAACTGATATCAACAATTCATACATAGAATGTCGTTCGCTACATTTATATATATATATATATGGCTTGAATAATTAGATGGGTCAGTTAATTTATAGCGCGTTTAACAGACTTCTGTCGAACCTCGAAGTTATCTCCTGCAAGTAGTGACAGAGAGGATGGTTAATTAAAGAGACGGGATGTAAAGAGAAAGGAGGGTTCTTTTACGTCTCTTCAAAAGGGGCAGAGCAGGTATGCTCTTTCGCCCGCGCATGAGAAAAAAAGAAATCTTCTGACGCCCGTGATGTGCGAACGTGGTGGATCTCTTTATTTCTCGCTCATGCAGCTTTACGTCTCCACTTTTTTCTGCTTTTTCCTGTCTTCTTCCCGCGCATCTTCCATCCTCTTCATTCTATCACCTGTGCTCCATTTATAGTCCATTTTACATGTACAATATTTAGTTAATGAGCGTTGGTGATCTTTTAATTTCAAATTTTCCATACTTTCTGCAAAAAATGAAAATGACTAGTTTTCTTCGTTTCGAGGAATGCACTGGCTTTATAATTCAAAAATGAAAGAATATTTACGATCGACAGAATTTTTGCTTAAACATTGCGTCCTGCAATTTGCCAAGTTTTTTCGCGAATATGAATTTTACAATTTCTCGAAATGTTTGCTAAATTCGATAATAAACTCGCGTTTCGCCGTTCCTTTTTTTGATTATCCTCCTTTCGCGTAATGATTATTATATTAGGAAACATGTAACAAAATCCATGCGCACGTATATAGGATAAAAGCAGACTAATGGAGTATCGATGGGGTGTCAAAATGCGATCAGATTCGATTGTACTGGAAAAGAAAAGCGTTTCAAAGAAAAGAAACCAAGAAAACCGCGCTTTGCAGTAGCGTCTCGTAATCAAATTACCATTTTCGCCAGCGTCGCGCATATACTGTATATCTATATACCTATTCTGCTTCTGTTCGTGGATTCGGTCGTTGTCATTGCTGTCGTTGTCGTTGTCGTTCGCACATTGCTTTAACCATCCATCCGTCAACGTGTTGTTCGTCTTACCACGTTCTGTATCGGGCTACATCACAGCCGCATCCATGACGATGTACACGATGTGCATA